GCAGATCAGGTGCTGGTAGGAAGTTACTGTATATTTAGTAACCAAGGAGGAATTGTGCACCCCAAAACTTCCATTGAGGATCAGGACGAACTGTCTTCATTGCTGCAGGTCCCACTTGTGGTAAGGCTTGTGAGGTGTGTTTTTTCTCACGGCTCCCTTCCATCCCAGTTTGTGGTTTTAGTGTTTCTGCATTCTCACGGGCTCCTAGACTGGTTTCCCTGTGAGGCTGCCCCAAATGGGAGGTGAGGAGAAGACCCGAAGGAGGTCAGTTCTGAGGTGCGTTCCCTTTCTTTTCTGTGTTTGAATAAGATGCACAGAACCTTCAGGTTGCTTCTGAAACGTTCTGCCAGGGTTTTGCAATTTGAGATGACTCGTTCACAGTGTGAAATGGTCGGTGGTTTGGCCGAAGGCAGTGTTGAAAAAGAGTTGAGCAATAAAATCCCGTGTCTGCACTGTGGGATTTTTAAATCCTGGGATTGCTCTGCCTTTTTGCTTCCTGTTCGTGATGGGGTGTTAGGATTGTTTTGGTTTTTGTTCTCTGGATCTCATGGACTTTTCTTTCCAGAGGATAAAGGCTGAGTAAGGAAGCGTAATAAAATGTATTGATATCAGAATGCCATGCTGACTTTTGCCACTTTGTTTATTTTCCAGGCTGGAACGGTAAACCGTGGCAGTGAGGTCATTGGAGCAGGAATGGTTGTAAATGACTGGTGTGCCTTTTGTGGGCTGGACACAACCAGCACTGAGCTCTCGGTCATTGAGAGCATCTTCAAGCTGAATGAAGCTCAGCCAAGTACTATTGCTACCAACATGAGAGATTCCTTGATAGACAGGTAAGGAGGATCCAGCTCTGTGCATAATTGTAATCAAAACAGAGAGGATTTCAGTACAAGGAAGCTATAAAACTAGCTGCCTCTCAAAGTTGATTGCTCTCTTCTTCATGTCTGTCCCTGCTTCAAGCATGATAGGGAAAAGAGTGGGGGAAGGGGGGCCCCTTTCACCCTTCTGTCCCTCTTTTGGAAAAGAAAAGCAACCCCACTCAGATAAGGAGAGATAAAAGATTTACTACAGATGGTAGAAGACTGTAAGATAATAATAATAAGAAAGAGTTACAATTAACAAATAAAGCAAAATGAGAGAGAAGGGAAGGTTCTGACTGTGCTGCTCACTGCGCTGCTGGAAGCTGAAAGAAACCTTCACCCCGTTATCCAGAACTGGAGATCACGTGGGAATGGTTGGGGATGGTGGTTGGGGATGGAGACGCATCTCAGTGTGTCCTCCTCTTGGAGTTAGAACTCAAGTGAGGCTGCTGAGAGCACAGGACCAGAAGTGCAGTGTCGCTGTGCACAGTGCCTACAGCCACCAGCCTGCTGCAGGATGTCCTGCTGTGGAATGCTGATAAAACCCAGACAGAGTCCTCTTTGCTTTTATTGGGTTATGGATGAGAATTATCTTGTTGCAGAAAGATTTCTTTTATTGTAGCTGATAAGCCACTGAAGTCGCCCATGGGAGGTGTGACAGTTCCTGTTTATAGTCAGGACTGGTGGTGCTATTGGACTTTTCCCGTTCATTGATGAATGCAAAAAGTTCTACAGGCTTTAGGAGCCTGTATGGGTGAAAATTGGTTTATTTGGGCTTCAACTGATAGTAATTCACTTGGTGATTGCCGTAATCCTAGAGGTGTATTCTGGAGCTACTCAAGGCACTGCAACTTATAGTTCTCAGCTCTTATAGAAATGTATGGGAGTGCTTTATGTACAGGGAAAGAATAAGGAATTCCTTGAATGAAGAGCCCTTCAAGAGTTCTTAGCTGTCCCTTCACTGTTCCTATTTAATGGCTCGGTGCACAGTTAAACACGTGCTTTTAGCAACTACTGGGACAAGACTGTACGTGTTGCCTTTGCCAGCCTGACAAGCATGTTCTTAGAGCTGGCTGCCAGCAGTCACCAGGCCTCCTTCAGTCTTCTCCCAGATTTATGTTTTAGGAGGGGAAATTACTGATGGTCCTTTATAACTGGAGGCTGAGAACTGGTTATAATGGGGTTTTGAAATGCGTTCTGCACTCTGGCACTTTTCTGCTAAATCTCATTTCTGTTTTGTCTCTTCAGTTTGGCGTGAGCAGTGTTGGTTCATGCCATTCAAGAAGCTCCTAAGGAGTGAAGAGTCAAGCTGCAGTTTGGATTGCAGACCTCTAGACCTTTGTTTCTGCAGGACTGGCACCAGGAAGAGGCTACCAAAACACCACCTTTTTTGTAATGTTTTGTAAGCTAAATATTATTGCAAAAAAATGGCAAATAACTGACACGAGTTCCAAATATGGAATGTTCTCCATCCCTTTGCTGATGCTCTTCATTTCTTCTTCAGCTGTGCTTTCTCTGTGATGCAGACCGCGGCCTTTAAATTAGCCCACAATATTTACCTGTTTGGATTTTGGTTACTGATAACTAGAAAATATTGCCTTAAATAGAGGATTAATATTCTGCTCTGCAGCAGGCAGTTTCAGCACATATATTGCACTGCCCACTCTTTCTTTTTGTGCTCTTGGTGTTTCTGCTGTAGGTAGGCATAAGAGCCCCTGTATTTCCTGTACCAAAAACACAGTAGTTAACTTGCCACAAGGAGTTTCAGAAGGCACCACCTGCTGTCCTGCCCTGACTTGCAGCTATTTTCACGGGGCTGCTGATTCTGAAACGATCAGCTCTGACTGGAAATGGAGTTTCTCAAAGAAGTCAAACCAGGCACTTAGCAGCCAGTTGGGACTGCCTGCAGGAGTTCGATCTGTTATTTGCAGGTGTCAGACCTGTGTGGTCCTTCCGAGACATCTGCAAAAGATCCCTGAGAAACATGCAATTGCTGGTAGGCTCAGCTGTGCTCTGTGCAGTTGGCACTTCCCTGAGAAACTTGCAGAAGTCAGCAAAGCAGAAAGAGTTGAACCATGTGATCCTGAGTTACCCTGGAGGCAAAGGTTAATTAGCAGTTCTACAGGGTTGTTGCATTCAGCTGTACTTTCCACGTTTGAGGGTGTGCTGTTGAAGAGTTCTGCCCTTGCCTGGCAGTAATGGCGATGCAGAGGAGCTGTGGAGTTCACAGTTTCCATTTATATGTGTATATATATATATATATATTTTAAGGGAGCACTTACAGCTCCCTTAATGTAGTGGACAACCTTTCTTGGCTGATTCCATGTCTCCTCCTTGTGTCAGTGTTGAGCATCACAAGCTGATTTCCTTCTGTCATCTTGCAGGGCTCTGTTATTAGGAATAGGTAAAGAGCCTGACTGCTGCTGTGCCTGTTGGCATGGAGTCACCAACTGTAAATAAGTAATGCTGAGCTTTTCTTGTTTATTTTAGCAGCTTTGTGGGGTTTTTTTCTTCCTGATTCCAGTCATTAGGCAGAAATCCTAGATTGTATCAGTGATCTCGATCAGCGTTAGAATTGCCTAAGCAAGAAAAATAATCCAGTTTCTATGAAATGCAAATCTGTTAGTGAGAAAGATTCTGGGATGGTGGTGAGGGTGGTAAAATGCCAATTAGAGACAGAGAGGGGAGGGCATTGCTAGCTATGGCGTGTGAGTTCTGATGAAACTTGCACTGAAATTTGGGAACTGGGAGGTGGCAAATACAGTATCAGTTCTAAACAAAAGGTTTGTGGGAATTCTGAACTGGGAACGTGGGCCTTTGTGGGGAGAGAATTAACAGGAACTGTAATACAGAAGGAAATCAGTAGAAACATCACGAGGCAGCAATAAACTGGATGCTTTAATCGCAAGTCGTGTCTCATAAGGCCTGTGGAGTAATTTAAGGTTTGGTTGTAATCTCTCTGAATTTCTGAAGAGGCTTTTGGCAGGGCTTTGTGCCAAAGGCTTTTAAGGACTCTGGATATCCTGTGGGATAATCACAAATATAATAATGTTTGTGCCAGATGGGGGAAAATGTCAGAGTAAATGATTGGATCTTTCACTGGGATGTCAGAGGGAGCTCAGCTGTGCCCTGTTGGGGCAGGGCAGTGGATCAGTGCAGTGCAGTTTGCTCAGACTGCCTCACTCTCACTTGTAAGGCTGAGAACTGACTGATGTGTTGATGGCAGGGTGAGACAGGAGATCCCTCTGAGGTTTAATGCCTGATTATGAAGGACCACTTCTGTTCTGACTAGTGGTTGGTACATCCCAGCATACTTAAACTTACCTGGAAAAATGGACCTGCTGTACTGGTGATCAGATTATTCACGCTTGTCAAGAATGAATGAATCAGTACAGAACGCTGAGTGCAAAATAGAGCACGTAATGGGCTGCTCTTTGTTGGAGCTGCAACTGCTGTGCTTAGGGTGGGTGTGCCAGGACTCCCCTCTTGCTGCCCAGATGGCTCGTGCTGCAGAGCAGGGTGTGCTGTGCCAAGAACACGCTTGGAAGAGCCCCGTGCTTGTGGGGTAGAGTTGGGTAAGCGCTGATGTTCCTCCTCCCCTGTGGTGGCAATATGTCCTGGTGCTGTGCTGCTGGACAAGAGCTGCAGTGTGGCCACCTGTCTGTGGAGATGCTTTACCTGTGCTGGTGGGAGACGGGCTGGGTTGAACTCAGATGCTGTGCTTGTGTAGTGTCACACAAGATCCCAGCGAAGAGCTTGGATGTGGGAGCCTAAGGAGCTGTGTCCTACATGGATATCTGCTCCTGGATCCAGGCCCTCAGAAATCACAGACCAGGATGCAGCCTGCACCTGCAAAGTGAGCGCGCACTAGGAGTCAAATTAAGAGATAGTTACAAAAGGTACCAAGTTCCTTAAAGCTGCAGGTCTTGAGTTCTGGCACTGTGGGGCACAAGGCTTACCTCACTGCTGCAAGGCAGAGAGCTGGGTGAGCAAACAGCTGAGCTTCCTACAGCCCCTCATATCGTGCTCACTGCACAGCTTGGCACTCAGCGTGAAGTCCTGAAGGAAAGCAAAGCCAACCTTTGGCTACGAGGAGAAAAAAAACCCAAATGAACAAAAACAGACATTTCTCCCGGTTGTAAATTATTATTTTTTTTAATGATGGCTGTTGGAAGTTGCTCAAAGGTTCGGGCTGTCACAGCCCCAGAGATGGCAGCGTACAGATGAGTTCCATGTGCCATGTGGCTGTGGCATTCATAGTGTGCATTCTACCACATAAATAGTACACATAGCAACTTACGGAGTAGCGTGTATGGGGGGGTGTCTAATTAGTAGCTCTGATTTCATTTGGTCCTTTGCACTCCTTCACCCATCATAAGACATTACCACATTTTTTCACTAAGATTCAGTTTTGCATCTACTAGCTTCTCACTTATTTCATAATATCTTTGTAATACATTTTATGCTTAAACAATAAAAAAATGTGGCTATGGAAATTAATCATGAAAGACAAAATACAGTTGGAGACCACGTGTTGTGCAGTCCTAGTGGGCTTCACTATGAAATACCTATTGGTCTATCTGGCTTCGCCATAGCAATGTTTGAGCACTAGTTAGAAATTCAGAATGCAAACAATCTTTCTGCTTTTTCATTCCTCATCGTTGTAATTACAAATACTTACAGCACGTTTGTCAAGAAAATAAAAATCCTTGGATATTTTTTTTTTTCATAGCTGATATTATGGGGTTGTACTTTTCTAAACTAGCTGGACATTCTGTGCATTGCACTTCCATTGCACTGAATAACATTCAGTTATATAGGCAGAGGGCTTGCACTAATCACCTGTTCCCTACAGTGGGCGTGCAAAGCAGTTCATATGCTTATGTGAATGGCACTTTCATAGAGGGCTGGATTTAACCATCAGATTGCACTGCAAGAGACTTCTCTTATTTGACATGGTGGGACTGTCAGAATCAACAACAAAATGAGCTGTACACACGTTAGGGTTAGGACCCAACACCCCAAACCATTCACAGTCATCACAGGGATAAGCAGAAGCTACCGCTGTAAGAAGAGGGCTGTGAAAAGTTACTGACTGGAGGCCCAGGAATTTGTGTAGCCTCTGCCTGAGGTTTGTGGCTCTGTCAACTGCGACTAGCGATGAACTCGTTCTACTGTGTGACATGCTTCCTTTGGTCCTTGCCAAATATTTGCACGTGAAGAAGTGAGCAAAAACAAAATTTCAAAGGCATACAATGTTTGTAACATCTACAGGGATTGGATTTTGTCTTATAAACAGGCCTAATTCTTACTGTACCTCGACTATTGCAGCAAAACATACTGACGATCTCACTCCAAACACATTTCCATTCTCCTGAAACCCAACGTACAAATTCCACAATCTAGTTACACATGCCACATAACAACAATTCATCTTTTCCCAGCATCTTAACGGGGGCAGAGTGCAGTCTACATTTATACATTTTCCATTACATTGGTAACCACTGCTTTCTGGCTCGTGGGAGCTTAAGATCCCATGACATCATTCTTTCACCAATGGCTCCCAAAACAAAAACGTGTATTCCCATAATTGGTGCTGTTATATGCAATTAGCTTGTCTTCAGACTGTCCCAAGTAGGACTCGATGTTGCCAAGTAACGTTATGGTGTCTGGTTTGGTGCTTGGTGAGCTTCTGCTCAGCACTCGTTGACCTCCTGGAGGGCTGAATGGTTCCTCGTGCACGGTGCTGAGTGGCAGCGTTGATTAGTTATGAATGTACAAAACATCTGACCAGCAGGTATTGGAAAATTGTTTCCAGGTTATTCCCTGGTTTTTGTAATAAACTAAGAAGATCTCTTAGAATGGCTCAGCATCAGAATGTCTTCTGCTTACGATACTGAATTGTTCCTGTTCATAGGTTTCATGATCTTAATTCATTTATGAGAGCTATTAAAAAAATGGTTCTGTTCAGAGGTGGTTTAGCTACACTGGAGAATGCTGGGTTTAACAGGGAGCACTGGTGCAGGGAACTGACAGAAGTTTCCCAGAACAGCTGAGAAGGTTGAAGAAAACCTGTCTTGAAGTCTCTGATGTTTGCAGAGTGGGCCTGTGGAGAATGGCACACCAAGACTTACACGACTGAGGCATTTTGAAGGAACGAGGCTCCACACCGCCTGTATTTTTTTCCAGTTTTCCTGCTGCTTTCAGTCCCAGGATGTCCAAAACTTTGTAAGTCACTGAAGTAGTTTTGTTTGGTAGGCTCTGAATGCATTTTTTTTTCATTTTTTTTTTTTTTGTCCATATCCTCATCGGGTCGATGTGCAGCTGGCTGTGTCATACCCACTCCTGGACAGGTCTTTTGTAGTACACAACATTCTGCTGCACCTCTTTGTTTTTAAACTGGAAGATCGTGTACACCAAGACAAGGATACACAGAGACAAAATGCAAGGAATCACAACTGCAATTGCATTTACAGTGCTAGGCACATCATTTATTGTCACCATAATATCCACATCGTCGTGGGGGAGGCGTCTGTCTTTGCTTCGCTCGACATCCTTCTGGTTGCAGCCCATCCAGTCTTTGAGGATTGACCTGGGGTAGCCTGGCTCCACGTTCAGCCTCTGGTTATCAAACTTCCAGTACTCCTTCCCCTTGTAGAAGTAGGTATAAACTAGGAAACAAAACAGAATAGTTCTCACCAAACCATTTCCAACTGATCAAACTCTGCATGCATGAGGGCGTGCAGAGAGCATGAAAGGCTGCAAGGTGGCAGCTCTCATGCCAACAGCACACACATCCCAAAACAAGGAAAATGTGCAGGCATAGTTGGAGCTTGATTAAAAGCTGAAACCCCAACCGTGGCTTGCAGGTGCCATGCTGTCCACAGAGCACCACTCCCATGGGCCAAGACAAGCTGCTCACTTTCCCCATCTTAAAGTGTTCTGCACTGATTTGTTTTCCTTTTTGTTTGTTTCTTTGTTTGTTTGCTTGGTGTTGTTTTTTGTTGTTTTGTTTGTTTTAAACTAAAACATCTGTAAATATGCACTGGTCATTACCAAGCTATTAACAGTCTTCAGAATGAGGGTGTCTGGCTGTGATAGGGCTTGGATGGATACTTGGGTCTGTGTTCTCATTCTGAAAGACCAAATGCCAAATAAAACCAGTCCTCTAAACAGCAGAATCTGGAAGAGCTGGGTGTTGCTGAGAAACAGTCTCATCCTGCTGCTAGTAACAAGCAGATGGTTTACACTACTTGTTGTCTCAAGTACCCCTCATCTCCCCAAGGAACTCCAAGATTCCTCCCCTAATCACTCTTCTGGGATTAGTGAAAAAGAAAACTTCACACCACAGAGAGAAATGTACTGCAGGAAACCTATGGAAGTCCAAACCCATGCTCAGGGCCTGGCTAACTTCAAAGTACATCATGCAGGCTGGAGACAGCAAGTGAGCTAGCTACAGATAACAGACCAGAGAAAAATGTAGCTCATAATCACGGCCCAAAAAAACTTAGGTGGGGACTGCTGAGGAAGTAAAATCAGGAAAAAAAGTCCCTTTCCCATCCCAAAGAACTGCCTGTGGTTTAGCAGCTAAGAGGCTGCCTGGGTTGGGATAAGGGAACAATCTGACTGTCTGTACTCACAGGTGTATGTGTGACCTCAGGCTGCCTGACACTTGAATCCTACCTCACCAAAAACACCCAAAACACCCCAAATCCAGCAACCCAACTCCCAAGCTAGACAAGCCGTTATCCATGTAATTTGTAAAATGACTGCAGATACATACAGCCCTCTTTGCTGATAAAAGCTCCTTGTGGAGCCTGAGGGATTCCTCTCCACACAGTGATGGGCTTTGGGTATCCTGGGTCCGTCGCTCTCTTGTCCTCGTTGTACCTCCAGTACCTGTCTCCTTTGAAGAAGTAGGTCTTGCCTACAGGCTCCCAGCGCAGAGCCGTGTCGATGCCTTCCCGGGGCAGGCAGTTCCCCAGCTCCACGAGACTGTGTGGGTATCCTGGCTCTGCTGTCACTTCCTTGAAAACCCAGTATTTATCTCCTAGAGTTGAACAGGGATATGGGCAACGAATGAACGTGCAGAATTTGTAGTTAAAGCAATACAAAGGTAAAACAGCCACCACGAAGCACAGCATGGTGGAGATTAACTGTGCTGTATTAACGTGAAAGTTTCTCCTTGCAATTTTAGACCTGAAACCTCTCAATTTCATTTGGTGCTCCTTAGCTCCAAACTTGGTTTGGAAAGTTAGACAACTCTTTCCCATTCATCTTCTCTAGGCCAGTCTTCATTTAAAAGATTTCTCTCACATCCTGCCTTTGTCAGCCCTCCTTCAGGCTGAGGAGCTGCAGGATATTTAATTGTTCTCTGTAGGAAGGCCAGTCCATTTCCATTGCCTTTCTCAGAGCCTTCTCTAGTTTTAAAATGTCTTATTGAGCTGAAGGACTGAAGCTGCGTGCAATAATTCAGAACATGTTTTTGTACAGGAGCATGGCAATGCTTTTCTGACTTACAACCTGCTGACAGATCACCTTCAGAAACTATCACAGTGAAAGGAGCTGCTGTGGGCTCCACATAAGGATAGGCATTTTGTTTTTTTAGGGAAAACACCCCTAACACATTTTCCCAGCACTTCAGAAAAGATGTGAGCACATGAAACAGCAGAAGCTCACGTTGCACTGGCGGCAGCAAACAGCAGTGTGTCTCCCTTAGACCAAAGCAAGGACAGGGACCATAACTGCTCACCTAAACGCCACCACACGCTCTGTAAGTCAACACCCATATTGATGCCTCACCTGCAACATTCTGTTACAGACGGTCAGTGGGCACTGGCTGGAATTCAAGGTATCCAGCAAGGATGTTGGCTACATTCTTCCCCAAATCTCCCCAAGCTTCTCTGACCAGGGCACCAAACCTTCATCCCTGTCACAAAATGTGGTTTCTGGTTGCCCTGGATCTGGAAAGGCTCTAACACTGTGCCATAACATATCCAAGGAGACAGCCAGGAGCCTCAGCTCCTGCTCTTCAGGGAGCATCTCTCTTGTCATCAGATGGAAGCCAACATCCACTGAACCACATTAGTTCTGCAGAGTTTCCTGGCAAGGCCAACCCACACTAAGGAATATTTTAAGGACTGGCTATCACACCGGGAGGCAGAAAGCAAAGGAGGACATTTATATATGGCTCAGCTGTTAGTACAACCAAAACCCATTAGCAAAAATAAAGAATGTGTAAGAAAAGGCCAGGTCTGTGCTAACAGCCTCTCTTTTCAGTGTATTCTTATACCACCTACCTTCTTACCAGACTATAAGATTATGAGGGATGTTGCCACAGCAACCATCTTTGCTAGTGTTGCAAGGAGGAGAAAAGGAGCCCTGCATGACTTAGCTGGCATGGCAAATTGTCACCCAGGCACTTCTGCAAGCATACACAAATTTTTTTTAAGGCTGCAAGAGGTCTCATGGCTGACCTTTGCAACCCAAGCTGCAGCTGACTCACGTAATTCCTTTTATAGCAGGAGAGCATCTGAACACAACAGCACAAGAGCTAGCAGTAAAACCTCAAGAGGCTGTGCAGCACCAGTGCCCTGCGCTGCTCCACAGCACTCCACACCTGACATACAAGCAAGGAGAGAGGCTGCTTCTCCTGTGTAGCAACACATCTTTTCTGTCTTTTGATGAGGAATTCAAAGCTGGTGACTTGGTTAATGGCTTGGGAAACACTGGTTGCTTGAAATGCCCACCTTGGAAGGATCCAGTGAACCTGTCCTCACCACTTTAATGCTGTGCAAGTGTGAGGCAAGGCAGGTGTGGTAGGCTCGTACTGCAATATACTGTACCTTTGAAGAAAACAAATTTTCCATCAGATCTCTCATAGGCTGCATCAATCTTTGCAGGGAGCCCTTTCCAGAACTGCTCAATTTGCATGGGATATCCCTCCTGCACCCGGTTGTTGCGCAGACGCCAGAACCAGCGATCCTGAGAAAACCAGAAAGCTCTTCAGACTGACTGTTTTTAGCCTGCAGTCACATCAGGCTGCACATCCAGCAGCTAACATTACTAATTCTTGCCTAAACCTGTAATCATTGAAGAAAGAAGTCCTGGTTTGTTGGTTGTGCTGCCCAACACCTTTTCCAGTGCAGGAAGCATTTAGTGGGGCAGACAGCAGCCAAAGGGGCAAGAAGTTCACAAGTGGAGATCCTCAGGGGTCAGTACTGGGGTCTGCCCTGTTCAATAACTTTAATGAATGATCTGCATGAGATCACTGAGTGCAACCTCAGTAAGACTGCAGATGACACCAAGTTGGCAGGACGTGTTGACCTGCCTGGAGGTAGGAAGGCCCTACAGAGAGCCTTCTCCAAAATAGTGGCCAGGTGCTGGAATGGGCTGCCCAGGGAGATGGCTGAGTCACTGCCCCTGGAGGAGTTGAAGAACTGTTTAGAAGTTGTACTGAGGGACATGGGTTAGTGGAGAAACGTTGGTTTTAGGATGATCTTGGATGTCTTTTCCAGCTTCAGCGATTCTATCAATCTATGATTCCAAGTTGATTACTGGGACTCTGACAAAGGGTGGAAAGAATGAGAGGAACGAGGAGCAGGGAGAGGGAAGTCTACAGCTCTAAGTATTACAAGCTCATTTGTGAGTGACCTCTGTGTGTCTCTTGCTGAGACGTCACACTTGTACAGCTGGTGTTCAACTCCTTGACCTGGGGACAGCCATTCAGCACTTGCATGAGTGATGCTGTGAGCTTCCCACAATCACGAGTTATTACATACCCCTTTTGATATGAGATCATCAGTTAAAGCTGTAGCGAACGCTCAAGAAAGAGCAAGAGGATAACCTGGTTCAAGTGTTTTCTGTGGCTGATGTGTTTGTCCACTTGATGACCTTGCACATCTATCCCTCTCCACATTCACAGCCAGGGGGCAGAGTGAAAGCTGTGAGTGGGACCATGTTTTTGAGATTAGAAGTGTTCTAACATAGGTTACTGACCAAAACCTATCCTTCCCTGGCTGCAACTTGTGACTAAGGTTGATACAAACTCCCCAAGAGCTTCAAGTACAATGAAACCCAGGGTTTGGTGTGTGCCATCTCGGAGGCCATGAGGCTCAGTGCCTGCTCTATTACTAACATCTTGCTTTACAGGTGGCTCCCTTCTCAGCTTGGTGATGTCTAAATTCTCTGCCAATGCTTCCAGTTAACTTTTTGATGAACAGGCTGCCTTGGAATTCTGTTTAGCTTGAAAATCCCAACAGACACAGTTTCTAAATACTACAAAACCAATCTGCTTACACTTCCCTCTAATGTTACTCATTTCTCAGCCTCAGAGCTTCATTCAGGAACATGACAAACGTGACCCTAACTGCCTTATACATCTACTTGTCTTTTCCAGGAACAAAGCTAAAGAAAACTTCATGAATAAGCATAATTTTTAGTACCTTGAAAACAAACATTTCTCCTCTAAAGAGAGCCACGGTGTTAAAATTGCCATCGCAGATGTTTGGTTTTGTGCCAGGAGGAGACGGCCTGTCACCTAGAGGAGGACTGGGAGGTCTAGGCTGTCTCTCATGTTTTCTTTCCGAAGTGGAATGAATTCTGCGAACAGGAAGAGTCGGTAAAGGCCTGGTTGGCTCCAGAGGCTCAATAGGAGGACCTAGAAATGAAAAGAAAAGTGTTCAGCAAAGTCACAATTTTGGATTTCCAATGCTTCCCTCAGGTTTTAAACAGATTGGATGAATAGCGTTGCGAGGAATTTCTATGTTCTTTATGAACTACCTACAACTAAGAGCTCGCTCCCTAAAAACAAGAAGCACAACAAGATGCATCCACACATGAAGGATGTCCCAAAACAGGCGAGGGATAAGAACTGCAGAAGAGCCAGTATGTTTTCATAGGTCCTTCCAAGGAGGCTGCAGATAAAACAAGAAGGATGCACACTAATCACACTCCCAGCTGAAATGAAAGACAATTGCCACTGAATACAAACGTTTATTAGCCTACTGGAAAAACAACAACCAAAACAACAACATGGTCAGAGTGCAAAAAAACTGCTGCAATGTAAGGGAAACTGCAGTATTAGCACACTGGACAACGCTGATCCTCACAAAAGGAATTACCCTGTTGTTCGTGACTGTCTCGTTCAGAGAAGGAATCTACTAGTAAGGATTATGATAGCCACAGGGGCTGCACACCCATGGGATCAGAAGAGAAGATCTGCAAACAAACATTCTGAACTACAGCACTTAAAATGATGGCTGAGTGCCCAACCCCCCGTGTCAACTTAGCCCCTAAATGTTCCCTTTTCAAAAGGTTCCTATAAAGAACAAATACTTAACATGCCTCAGAAGGGTGACTGAGCCACTGAAAGTCATCGCAGACAGTGACAAAAACATCATCAAAAAAGTCATCACATTTAATTTTTATGAGGTTCTACCGAGAACTGTGTCTACAAGGTTCATGGTCGATAAGTTCAGAGTGCACCACTCTGATAGCTCAGACTAACTTCTGCATAACCAGGCCAGAAACCTTCAGATGCAAACCCTCTGACAAATCTAGAGTTTCTGTTACAGATGCAGCGCATTTTCCAGAAAGAGACATCCAGTTTGGGCCTGAAGCCTTCAGCAGGAACTCCTCTGTAACGCACAGCAATCTGCTCCAGTAATTAAGCCCTGGTGCTCTGAAGGCTGTGCCTTACCCAGTGTCTGAGTTTGTGCAGGTTCAGATTCAGCATTTTTTCCATTTCCTATTTCTAGTGGCTCATCATTTAAATATTAATAGATCTTGATACGGAAGAACCTCAAATTCCCCTTAACAAACTAAACAGACTAATTACTTCTGTTGCTGCAATGTCTTTTGGTTTTGACATCTTGAGACTTACAGCTGCTTTATAAAGAGTTTCATAAGGATCTCTATACTTCCACAAAGTGACATGTCCTTATCTTATGACATCTATTTTTATTAGCAACTATCTTGATTTTCATCCCACAACTTTGATGAATGAGTCTGTAACAATCAGAAAAATCAACACAACGGAACAGTGATAAAGAGGTGCAATAACAAAGGGACTAACACAACAGAAAGGTGCTATAAGGGAAGGAAAAAGAACTGCTCACCTGTCTCAGAACTTCTAGGCTAAAACAGGTAAAACCCCCACAAAGGAGGGATCTCCCAGAAGAGATCCTTCCCCCATGGCAGTCAGCCCTCAAATGAGATCTGAGAGGTGCAGCCAGGCTCAAACCCTTCTGGTTCCAAAGCTGAATTGCCTTCACCTGTGCTCCCAGGGCTGACCAGGTCCTTTCCCCAGGTGATCAATCAGTGGTTCAGCCTGGAACTCAACAGTTCCCATATAAATATTTGAGGTGAGGATTCTCTGTTGACAGTTACCCTTGGAAAGGTGCCAGCTAATTTGTCTACATTAATTGAAGGAAAAATGACAGTTACCACGTATTTCTCATCTACCTCTGCCCTTAGCTGGTAGGTGCCCAGTACCTTAGCAGGCCATAAAGTTTTTTTATTCAATTTCCCACACTGTGACACTGCTATTGCTAATTTCCCCACTGCTGTTGTGAATTTCCCCAAATATTACACAGCGAGGATTTCCAGGAGCTGCCCATCATAGAAGCCAGCAGGGTTAGAGCCCCTGGTTAGCTGATCAGTATGGGAGCATCTACACTCGTGCTTTGGTTGAGGTAGGAGTGTGCCTTTGAAGAGAATCTCTCAACCAATTGCAATTTCTGTGCTGAGGTTCTCATCAAAACGCAAGAAATACCTTCCTTTTCTGTGAAACTAAACTTGAAAATGCATTTCTGGAGCACATCTAGTACACAGCAGCTGCAAATAGGCACCACAGGGAAAGGCTAAAACTAATCCATAGTGCTGCCTTCTACCAAATACATACAGAGTAAGAGACAAGTTCTCAGAACTCTATTTACCTAATGCCATCCCCAAATACCCCTGCATCTACAGACATGCTACTACTAATCTTGCTCTCTGCCCCAGATGTAAACAGCCATAGGCAACACACTGCCATACATAGCACGTGCAACAGCATCTCCTCCAACAAGCCACCCTCCAGCTGGCACTTCTGATTCAGGCTGAGACCTGGTGGAGGCAGGATTGAGTTGGTACAGCAGGACAAGCTGCAGAGGAAGGACTGGAACGTGGAATGAGGCCCCATGCTGATCTTATTCACTGAAAGCCAGGGCTCTGGTTTGTTCAGCTGTGTGATGGGAGCGTGGTCTTCAGCTCCTGCTTTGGCAAATTAAAAGGGGCAGAAAATTGGACGCCTGTATGGCTGCCAAATTGGAAGCCTGTGCAGCTGCCAGAAGTGTTATAAAATTTCTACTGCATGTTCTATATGATGAGATTCCTATGCCAGCACACCACTGCAAAGCTCACCTTTCTAAATGAGATTGCAGCATGTTGCTGCAACAGAACAACAGAGGCACAGTTCTTTGTTCTCCAATTTGCAAGAGGCTAACAGTGCCATGCACTGACCTAAACAAAGGTGCATTTCTTGTTGCCACGTATAGATCAGAAAAAAACTTATTTGGTGTGAATTTGACACGGTGGAACGTTTTCATGAGACAGCTATTGGGCAGCCTGTGGAAGCCCACCAGCAGTTTCAGCACAAAGTCTACACCTGGGATAGATCCTTGTGCTGTGCGAAGCAGCTAGAAGCAAATTCCCAACATGGGAGCAGGGAGAGCTGCCCGGAGCACTGCTGCCTTTAAAAAGGGTGAGATGAGCAGCAATTTGCAATGCAGAGAGGAACACCTGCTGTCAGAGGGAGTTGTCTGGGAGGGAACCAAGAAGTCACTGTGTTATGTGCGTGTGTGGTGTAACTCAAAGTGCCTGCTGGAAGGACTCACATAGAAAGGGAGCGACAACCAAGTCCAGGCCATTCTGCTTCTTATACACAGCAAACAGACAAGGACTGAAATTGCATCACTGGAGGTAATAAGATTCATTAATTAAAGGCGTGGTTTCTTAAAGGTGAGTAAATCTGGTTAAGAGGGAGAAAATAACAAAAAACAAAGCAGGCTCATTTCAGATGAGTATGTTCACCTTGTTAGAACAGCTCAACTATTATGGAAGGATGGGTAAGAAAACAGGTTAACACAACCAGAGTCTGGGAAACTGCAGAATGAAGCAATCTGGGAGTGGGTTCTCTTGGTTCAGCGATGGCCAAGGGAGAGGCAGAGAGGAACAAGACAGGGCAGTAGAGAAGTACTGGGGTAAATTGCCCAAAGATGCTGTGGACACTCCAGCCTTGGAGACTTTCCAGGCTCAGCAAAAAAAGCCATGACAGATGGCAAGCAATGCTGGCAACAGTGCTACTGTGGGTGACAGTTTCCACTAGAGACTCCAGAGATCCCTTCCAACCCAAATGCTTCTACCATCAAAAAACTGACAGCGTGAGTGACAGGGGGAACAGAACAGCTTTATTTCCAGAGCAGGGACAGAAACATGCACAGTGTGTGGGGACAAGGGGCTGCTCAGGGGAAAGGAGCTGCGTGCTCCTTGTGAGCAGGGGATACCCACTGCTGGACACCCGCCTGCTGTGTTTGTGATTGCGGCCAGTACCATCTTGTTTCACACAGTCATAGCACCAGGAAGGAATAAGCAGCCATCTCGTATCATCTGCTATGTAGCATGTATCAGTATATCATTCCTGTTGCAACTAAGCTAGTTTTTGGATATATTTAATATTAATAAGATGAAAAGCCAGAAGTGAAAGACTCATTGCAATCCTTACTAAAACTGTTCCAGTCAAAAGACACTGCAGGAATTAAAAGTACTGCCCTTCATTTACACTCTGGGTTCACGGAACTGGAAATGGTTAATCTTTCCCAGTGAAATCTAAAGGCCATTCTTGTAGTTTGGTTTTCTGAGCAGGTGCCTGGCCTTGATCCACAACCAAATCCAGAGATGTGAGCACAGACTGTTCTCACTTCAAGGCTTCCAAGCAACTTCAAGGCACCAAGCCCAGGGGTGCCACCTTCAGGCTTTGGTGCTCTTCTCCCCAACAAGAGATTGGATGAATGAGATGCCCCACACAGATGCTTCAAAGGCAGCAATCTGGAGCACAAAAATATGGCTGAGGGAGAGCATGGCTTGAAGGCCATCACGTGGGGTTGAGAATCTCCACAGGGAGCTTTGTCTGTTACACTGCGGGCTCAAATTCACAAGGGAGGACCACTCATTACAGCCAGCCCTACCCACAGTGCAGGACAGCAGTCGCAGTTTCTCTAAGGCTTATGCACCCAGAGTCACAGACTTAGTAGAGATGAGGAAAGTTAAAATAGCACCTACAAGCCTTAAAGGCTTTAATTAATTCTAGGATGCCACTGAAACAGAATGCAGAAGGCTTGTGAGGGAGACACAGTTGTTGCAGACTGAGGTCTGGAAGTTGAAAGTCAGCAACGATGTCACTGGACCAACAAGCTGAGCTGGGTCACCAAATGCTTTGATTCCTTGCAATGGCCAAACTAGCTGTGGGCATTGCTCTGAAGGAGACAGCCAGGCTTCCCACACATTTTGCAGGTGGTACTGCAAATCGCTGGGATGCAGACTCCACCATTTCACTTACAATGCTGCTCTTACTGTCTTTCCTTGCCAACAATGGCTTCTTCCTTGCTGTTTTTCACTTCT